CCTTTGCCAGGACACTTACAAGCTTGCATTTTTTGCGGCGGGTAAGCTGCATGAGTACCAGCAAGTGAACATTTTTGCCCGCGAGGTCGCAAGGGATGTGCCGTCCCACAAGTTCAGGTTTCACCACCTGGGTGAGGATTGGGAGGTTGTTCACTACACCCCCACGTGTGTGTGTGTGTGCGTGCGCGCATGCGCGCGTGTTTGTGTGTGTGTATGTGTGTATGGGTGTGTGTGTGTGCGCGCGCGTGTGTGTGTGTGTGTGTGAACACGTGCGTGTGGGGGGAGGTGTGATGGTGCGTGCGAATGTGTTGGGGGGTTGCGCGTTTGTGAGGTTTGGGATAGGGTTGGTGGCAAGTGGTATCTGTCGATTCGCAGGGGCCAGCGCCAGAGGGGAACACAGAGGCATCAGGGTGCAATCCAAGGGCCGGCGGGCGGCTCGTCTGCGAGCGCCGCACTCCCCCCCCCCTGGGCCGCCGAGGGCGTGCGGTCCACTGCTCCCCTCCCGGCCATGTCGCCCTGTCCGCTTGCAGGCGCACTCCAGTCTGCCCCGAGCGGCCTGCCGGCGTTCTTCCACCGCACGGTGAGGCCGGCCAGGCGCCCAGCGGCGGCGCGGCGGGGGAGCTGCGGGCGGCGGCGCCAGACCTGCCTGACCATGCGCAAGCAGCAGTGGGCGGCATCGCGCCTGCCTCTGGCATGGCGATTGCGCCGCTGCTGCCGGCCCCTTCGCCCGGCAACCACCCCACGTAAGTGCACGTCAGTAACCTCTGCCGCCTACCTTTCAACACCCTCGTCCCCGCCCTTCCCCAGAGCTTCAACAGCAAGTTTTTCCCCCACTGCCAGAACAATCCAGACCCCAGCTACTGCGAAGGCCAGTGGGTCAGCGTGCCTGTTTTAGATGGGCAGGCCGCGCACGCAACCCAGCCCAACATTTTCGCTTGGGAGGCGAACGACATTGATACGGAGATCTACAAAACGGCCTGCAGCTGGGCGCGGGGGGCCGAGAGCGTCAGCCCCGAGAGTGGCAGCAAGGGCGGGAAGGACGGCGCCGGCGGAGGCAACAGCAGCGATGGCAACGCGACGGGCGGAACGCGCGGCAAGCAGGGTGACGCCGCCAAGCGCAGCAGCAGCGGGTCGGACGGCGGAGGTGACAAGGCAAAGGGGGGCGCCGGCAGGAGGCTCGCCTCTGATGGCGGAAAGGGCGGCAGCGGCAGCGAGCAGCAAGGCAGCGGCGCCCGCTACACTGGCGGCGTGGTTGATCCGCCGGGGCTTTTGCTTGTGGAGGAAGGTTGCAACGCGACAATGCTGGCGTTGGGCAAACAAAAGCTCCCGGTCCCAGTGTTTCCTGTGTGGCGCCTGGGCCCCGCGGCTGTCGCCGCGTTGGAAGCATCCCATGCAGCCTTCCGAGACATCAAAGCAGCGCTTGCGGGCGGGCCAAACCCTAGCCAGGATGTTGGCACGCGCCGAATGGTGTTGAGGGCGGCCGCGTCGCATCGCTCACGGGCATTTACAGCCTCTCAGGGATCACTTGATACAGATGATAATTGCACTCTGGTCAGCTTGTAGCTGGTGGATTTCTTTGGTAAGTACGCATCCCCCATGTCTTCCTGATGCAATTGAAATTTTTTGGCTTTAATGAGTGTTGCTTAGGAGCATGCTGCTCCTGCAAATCACCCGCAGGCTCATTACAATAGCTGCTTGCTAGGGTGGCACAAAACTTTGCAACATGCGCTTTGTTTCAAAAGCTGCAGTGACGCAACCCATGACGAGCAGTGAGTGGCCATCTGGTTGCTGCTGAAACACCAATGCGCTTGGCCCGCCCTTTTTTACAGTGCCTTGCGAAAGGTGGCACCTGCTTGCGTTCAAGATTGACCACAGAGCACGTGCACGTGTACTGTGCTTCCTGCAGGGCGTTTTGCGCAGCTGCAGTTGGGCGCACCACCATCGGCACTGAGTAACAATCCAACCACATGCATGGAGCTGTGAATACTCCGTCATGACCGGGACTGAAGGGGGCGTTGACCTCGGTCAATCCTCTAATCGTCCGGGTCCTTGAAGGGGTGAATGAACCAGTCCTGCATGTGAGTTTGATTGCTGCTTCCAACATTGCAGTGCACTGTTTCAGTGCCGGACAGGGCCGCCTTTGGATGCGGCAACAACACGGTTGAGTGGTGGGTCCGAGGCTGCGTGGTAGAGTGTGCGACCTTCGGCTGTTATTACAGCAAAGACAGTATGCTTCAATCGTTGATGAGACATCAACAAATATATCTACTAGCTTCGATACGGTATGGTATGTGCTGTCCAGACGGCAAGTCGCAGGGCATCAGCATTGATCAGATGGGCCCAGGGCTGCTGCTGGGAGGATTGGCACCTTGGGGTAAGGCGTGAAGAGCCGTCAAGCAACTAGTAAGCCACACTAGCTTGCATTTTGCCGTTCAACTGCAGCAGCTCTTTCTGGTGCTCATGCAGCTCTGCTGCTGGCACTGTGAGCTACAACAGCAGCGGCGATGACAGCAGCAGCACCAGCAGCAGCACCAGCAGAACCACCCAGTATCAACACATTCGGAGATTGCGGCGTGCCGTGCAATCAGTCATACAAGCAAATGAGGGAAATATTCGCTGCACATCACATCCATTGCAGGCCCAGTTTTACAACTCCCTAAAAAGCCTTGCTGCAAAGGACCTGGGTGCCACGCTGACCTACCTCGACCCAGCCAACGCGCTGCCCATGTGGGCGGTCAAGATTGCAGCAGATAGAGAACCTTTGGGGATGTGCGGCAACACAGTGTGTGTCTCGAATAGCACACGCTGTTGCTTGGTTGGCTGCACCAGGCCGGAATGCGCGCTGCCATCTGCGCCAATTTTCTGCCACCGCAACCATACGAGACGCCCCAGTTGAGGCAGACCTTGTGAGACAGCCTGGTATTTCACGGCGCCCTTGTGGTGCATGATGCAGCACCCTTCATCGCGAGCGCCTGTCAGGAGCTGCCGCCATTGAGCGTTTTAGTACACCCTGCAGCAGCACACCACTTTTTGTCAGGTTGCAGCGAGCGAACTGCTTCCCAGGGCCGGATGCCCGCCCTTGCTTGTTGTTGATAAACTGCTTGCCACAATTGAAGTCGTATTGCCTATCCTGTCCTTGTTGAAGCCGTGACACCATGCCTGCCCATGCAGCTGCCTGCTCCAACCGCTGCTGGTCAATTGAAGCTGCTGCCCGCAATGGGTGCTGTCACCCAACCATGTTACAGGGAATGCCGTACAGGCAACCATGGGTCCAAGAAGTCAACTGACCATTTGCATGCAGCACAACAACATGCGGTTGAAGCAGAGCTAAACCAAACGGCAATCAGCGGATTAAGGACCTTGAAATTAGCGCTGCGTCCCACGCAACCTAGGAATAGTTGGCTCAAATGCCAACGCAGCGGTCACAGCAGCGGGCTCGCTAAACGCTCAAGCAAAGAATGATTTGCACGCGGCCCAAGGTTTGGCATGTGGCCCCGGCAGCCCTTGTCCAAGGCACACCATTATTGCAAGCAGCAAGGTCAGGTCAACGGTAAGCGTCAGGTTGATGAGATACGTAAGCGCCAGACACAATATCCCAGTTATTTGGCGCCTGTTGCCACAGTTGCACAAGTACAAAAACCATGTGCAGGAGCCCGTTGCTCAGCCCCATTAATCAAGGGTTTAGGCCTCCTGGTCAGACTGATGCGCTGCCGGGAACGTTGTTGTACGCCCCGTTGGTCACGTGTCACACGTATCTTGTGGTAAGGTAAACCCAGGAGCCAAGGCCGGGGCTAACACGTGTATGTCCTTCAAATAGGTACCTGGTGCAAGCGCACACGTCTGCAGCTGGCAAATTAGTGTTGCCGGGCAGCTGCGGCTCCCGCACCCCACAGCACGAAGCCTCGTCTGTTCAGTAGCCGTTCGTGCGCGCTCTGCAGCAGCACTGGCGCCGCGAGCTAGCTCACTCTTTGCTGGGGCCGGTGTAGCAGGTCACGGCGCCGCCAATCGCCACTTTGCTGCCGCGGACTTCACTGCAAGCAAACACCTTTGGGTTTTTCCGCGCCACTTGCAGGTATTCATCTACGTGTGATTTTGTGGCCAGCCACACCTTGCTCCAGCCGGTGAGGAAGGGGACCAGGCGGTCCTGCGCATGCGTGAAGTGGGCGGGCGCCTCGCCGACGCCCAGCCAGGTGGACTCTGGGTGGTCGTCCAATATGACGATGCCTGCCGGCAGAGGAAGAGGTGGGTGGCAGGCGGGTGACCGCGCCAACTCAGTGTGAGCACGTGTGTGCGTGTGTAAGTGTGTGCGTGTGTGGGTGTGTGGCTCATCACACGTGCATGTGCGTGCGTGCCTGCCTGCATGCGTGCGTGCATGTGTGGGTGTGAGTTTGCGCCCGCAAGCGCGTTTTTGTGTGTGTGTGTGTGTGTGTGTGTGTGTGTGTATAAGTGTGCGTGTGCGTGCATGTTCAAGCACACTTGGCATGTTCGCAATGTTTGTGCTGCGTGGCGAAGGCTCAACCTGCGAATAAAGTTGGCTTGCATTGACAGCCGCAGCGTGCACACCTGAATGCTCCCTGTTTTCAGCTTCACGTATCCTGCACCATCCCCGCTGCCCTTGCGCGGGGCACCCCCTTCCGCACCAAAACGCACCGCCGTCGCGGACAAGGCAAGACGCAATCATAAGGTCACTCAGAGTCGCCTCCAGACTGGGGCCCCGTCCACGCTTATGATGCGGAAAGCGGGCAGCCTCCACTCCAGAAAATCAACCGCCGTCAGGCTATTGCTGTTGACGGCCTTGAACAGCACCTCCTCCTGTTTGATGCCGTGCTTCTTGAGGTTGGCCATAAAGTTAGCCTTGGTGCCTACAAGTCGGGGCCGAAAGGGCGCACATGTTACCAATGCTGTACAACAGTTTCTTGGTCAAAGGGCAGAAAGTTTTCTACAGCGTGAGCCCACGCATCAGTATCCACCGCCTGGGCACCATCCCCTTGCCACGCGTGCTTTTTTGCTGCTGGCCTTATCCTGGCTGTCCCATGCTTTCAATCAGGGTGTGCAAATCCAAACCCCTAACCCTGCTTGAACCCCCACCATCACCCCACCCACAGCGCACTCGCCTGAACTGTCTAAGCCGACGGTCTGGCTCCTTTCAACGAAGTCGATCGCCACCAGCGGCTCCCCCAACAGCGAGTTGCCCGACAGCGCGAGGAAGGGCTCGCCGCTTTGCACGCCGATCTGGCCGACGGCGCCGTGGACGCCCACCTTGTGCTGATGCTGCGTCATGAGGCGCACAAAGTCGGCCTGGACAGGCTGGGGCCGTGTGTACGGGCGGCGCCATGGGGGAGTGAGCGGTTTGTGTCTTATGCTGGCGCGCCAAACGAATTACTTCAAACAGATAGTGCAGGTGCTCCAGCACAAGGGGCTGCTGGCCTCTGCAATGACCACCTACAAGGCTGCCTGATTACCTTTCAGCATGACCCATTCGCCCTCATCTCAGTGGCCCCCCCAACTCAATGCAACCCCGCCCGCCTGCCGCTCTCCCCACGTCCACCCCGCATGCTTACAGCCAGCCCTCCGCCCATGGTCTTGGCCTTGAGCGCGCCCTTCAATGCGTCCTCACTGCCCTGGCTCCATCGACGCTCCTTGGCCGCCGGGTTTGACAGCACAGTGATGTTTTCTCGGCCGACGCACTTCGCAATGTCGCACACTGGCAGCAGCTCGCCCTCAAAGGTCCTGACTGAGTAGTCAAGCCGACAGACCTCTGAGTCTGTGCGCCTCAACCCCATCCGGCCGCTGACGCCCCACACCGCCCGCGGCAGGCTGCGCGCCGCCCCGCCGTCGCCGGTCCCCTTGATGCCGACCGCTGATGCAGACAAAAGCAGGAGCGCGGCCGCCGCGAGCAGCGCTGCGTGCGCGGGGACGCCGATGGACGCGAGCCAGCTGTCAGAGGGCGGGAGCGGGTCGCCGGCCCCTTGCAATCGCAGCAGCGGCGTGCTTGTGGGCTTCATGGGGGCCGACGGCGGCGTTGCAGGCACAGTTGTTGCGCGTGCTTGGGTGCAGGAATGGATGACGCGTCGAGGCCCTGTTTGTGCAGGCGGTTTGGCGGTTGTCACGCGCGTCCGGACGGCCTGCCGTGACGTGAATTTCGGCGCGTTGTGCACGCAAAGCCATGCCAAACTTCCTCTTTCAGCGCGTTGGCGGGGCGGCCGGCATTTCTCACCTAGGTGACGGGTTGCACCACACCTCCACCCACGTCGCCGCCGCCCGTGCTTTGATGCTTGTGGGCCCTGCTGACGAACGGTGGAAGGCCGTCCGGAGGCACCGCCGCAACTGCCGGTGATATATGTGTTATTTGTTGCGAAGTGGCCAGCGGCACCCGTCACAGCGTAGAGATGGGATTCGGGTTGGTTTCAGAGACCATCGTGCTGCTGAGCAGCACTGGTGGTTCTTGCAAATGATGTGATGTTGTGATTGATGCAGTTATCTGAATTCAGCATAACATACGGGTGTGAAGCACCGTTTAAGCGGTGGAGAAAGGACTCACCAGGGCAGATCGCACCCGGCTGTCGATTCGATCTGCACAGCGCGGGAGGACCGAGCCGAGCGTGTGACTGTGGCCCTATCACATTGCATCCGGAGGGACCCGTGCAGCTGATGTATGGCGCTGCGTGGCCAAGGTAATCCTCCAGCAGGTCTTGGACCCCAGGCGCCGCCACTGCAGCGGGGCCCGCGCCGCGCGTGCTGCGCGCCTTGATCGCCCCAAACGCCCCCGACAAAGGTGACGCGCAAACCTCCAACCCCCAGGCTCTTTGCAAGCCCTTTTGGGCCGCCAGACGCGGGGTGTCAAGCGGCCACAGCAGGGCGACAGGGATGCCAGTACCAGCGGCGGTGAGGCGGCCCGACAGCGGCTGACGGGCGGGGCTGGCTAAGGGCCCTGAGCCTCATGTTATTATAAAGCAACCGCCTGCTAGACAGCATGTCTTGTTGGCGCGCCCCAGCGCACATGCTCTCTGTCACACATGCTCCTAATGGCGTCCCCCATTTTCAGGCAAGGCAGCCAGCCAGGGCAGCGGGGCGCCCCTTCCAAATGACGGGCAGCGGCCCCAACCGGCACCGCTGCAACGCCAGGGCGGCATCAAGGATTTTTTCGCGCCAACACACCATAAAAAGCAGCGCGCAGCGCCATCAGGCAGCGGCGACGACGTCCCAGGTGCTGGGGCGGCGGGCGTTGCAGGCGTCTGCACAGACGCGAGCGTGACGAGGGGGGCCGCTTGGAGCGGCAGCGTTGAGGACGGCACAGGCAACGGCTGCGCATCTGGTGGCGGCCAGCCGTTGGGGCCGGAGCAGCTCGCCGGGCGCGCGTGGCAGGAGCATGCGGAAGCGGGAGCAGACCGGCGCAGCTCGGGGTCCAGCCAAGGGGGGAGCCCTGATGCGTCTGCCGAGCCAGCCGCGGCGGCGCCGCCTTCACGACCCCAGCAGCAGTCGGCTGCGGCGCAGCGGGCGGCTGGCAGCTGGGTTCTTGAGGCGCGCGTTGTCGGGCGGCGGCACCAGGGGGCTCGGGCGCAGGCTCATCAGCTCTCCCCATCCAGCAGGCTTGCGCTGAGGCGGGAGGAGCGCAATCCTGCTGACTGCAACGCCATACAGGTGGCCGGGTTCTTGTGTGGTTGTTTTGGTTGATACTGGCTCGTGCATGCAGAGGCACGTGCGTCGACATTGCAGCCGCGCGTGCGTGCGTCTGGGCATTTGCACCAGCAATTGCGCGCCAGACCGTCGCACGGCCGCCTGCAAATGAGGCCGTGCGGGCCGCAAACTTCCCTTGTGGCTCTCACGCCCCATCCTTGCCTCTTGTTGTGTACCAGGTCGTCCTGCTGGCAAGCGGCCCCCCTGGGGGCGCCTCTGCAGACGCCGAGGAGGAGACCGCCGCCCTGGCATCCGCAGTCCCGGTCGGCCACTTGCCTGCGCCCGTTGCGGCTCACCTCTCGCCGCTGCTGGACAGCGGTCGTGTGCGGGTGGTCGCTGCTGCGCTTGCACCTGGCACCGCCGACACCATAAGCATAGAGCTGTCCCTCCAGCCACGCGCGTTGTGGCGGCGGCGGCAGCAGCAGCAGCAGCAGCAGCAGTGCCCGCCCTTACTCGCAAGCACCGACAGCAGCGGTGGCAGCCTTCCCGGGCCCGAGTACCCTCACTCAGGCGTCAAGAGCGGCGCGTGGGAGGGCCTAGAGGAGGAGGGTGGCGCAAGCTCCGAAACGGAGGCCGAGTTGGTGGCTGCGGCTGTTGACAATGCCGCCGCTGCGGGCGCGGGGCGGCCGCGCAGCACAGGGGAGGTCTTGGTGGACAGCTTCCGCGCCATGCTGCACCGCATCAGGTGGTTGTCAGCAGGGTGGGCACGGCTTGCCGGCGTCTCGCCACTGTCGGCAATTGGGTCCAGCACAGCTCCGCACCAATCCTGCGGGTCTACACTCTTTGCGGTCGCGGTGTGCAGGTCCGCTGCTGCGCCCTGTTGCGTGTGGCTTGGTGAAATGCTCCGCGCGCCTGCTCAACTTTCTAAAGCTTTGCTGTCAACCCCGCAGGGAGCGCGACGCCCACTTGCTGGACGGCCAGGAGTGGGCTCTTACAGAGGCCATGGCCGCCTTGCACGCCGAGCCGCTCGCCCTCTGCCTGCGCCTGCTGCTGCGCAAGCGCCAGTGGCACGCGGTCGCGAGGCTGGCATACTCGGACGTCCCAGATCCGGCCGCGGCGGTGGCGGCGCTGGCGGCTGGCGGGCTTGCGAGGCTGGATTTGGAGGTGTCGCGTGCAGCAGACCTCTCGGCACTGCTCGGGGGCCTGCCAGCCGACACACTGCGCGCGGCGCTGCTGCAGCTGCTGCCAGCAAGGCACCCGGCGGCGGCAGGGGGGGCGAAGGGCAGCAAGCAGCTGCTGGTCGAGGCAACACTGGTGGGTTCAGCAGGGGCCAGTTTACGGGTTGAGTGTTTAGGTGGTGCGGGATGATGCAGGGGGCCCTCGGGGCAGGTTCCTGCATTGGCTGGTGGTGCATGCGCTGCTCAATCAGTGAGGCTGGTGGGGCAGAGACGTCTCTGTCCATTGGTTTGGCTAGGCCTGGCCAACCATCACGCCGCGCTTCACAAAGCCTGATTCGTACCCTCGGCCACCAATGCCAGGGTGCGGCGCCTCCCCAGCGCGTGGCATCCGTCGTGCGCGGGCTGGTAGGGCCCTCCGTGCAGGTGGCGCCGCCAGTGCAGCGCCTATTTGTGCGTTTGCAGCGGCTTTTCTTCATCACAGAAGGCCAAGACATGTCATCGTGAGCAGCCCCGTGTGTGAGGAATGTGTGGTGGCGTGACAGCCAGTAAGGGACTGACTAACCCCACAGTGCCCTGCGTTTGTGCTTGGCGCATCTCCGTGATCTGTGTTCGCCGCACATCCTCCCCTTGGCAGGTTCGTAGCCTCAGAGCGAGGCGGAGTGCGGTGGCCTGCTTACCGTCTCAGCAGCACAGCGATCAGTGTTTGGCCGAGCCGCGGGGCACTCCTGAGATACGAAGTGTCGCTCGGGCACGCTGCAGCTCTGGAGGACGCACTGCAGGTTTGTTTGCTGGGGTGGAGGGACTCGCGGTGTGTGTTCGTTGGGGAGGGGTGTTTGAGTTGCACTGCGTAATTGTGTTTAGGCCTCCCTGGCCTCCCTGGCCTCCCTGGCCTCCCTGAGGTGGCGCAACTCTGTGGGCCCGCACGCATTCATGTCGACGCCTTCATGCGAGGGTACCGTACAGCACCGCGATTTCTAGGTTTCTTGCGCTCTGCCTGCCCTGGCCCTAAGCCACGTCATTGCGCTCAACCCATGCACCCCTCTTCCGCAGGAGGGCGACACCGATCGTGCGTGGCAGTGCCTTGAGCCGGCATTGGCATCGCTGCGGGCAGGCGCACACAAGGAGGTGGGGTGGGACGTGGCGCATGCACCAATGCCCAATCCGCCGCCGTTGCCACTACAGCAGCAGCAGCAGCAGCAGCAGCAGCAGCAGCAGCAGCTGCGGGAACAGCAGCAAGGGCAGCAGCAGCAGCAGCAGCAGCAGCAGCAGCAGCAGCAGCAGCAGCAGCAGCAGCGGGAACAGCAGCAGGGGCAGCAGCAGCAGCATCAACAGCAGAAAGCAGGACAGCAGCAACATGTGCAATTGCAGCCAGCTCAGCAACATGCGGAGAGTTTACGGCTGCTAGATAGTTCAACGCAGGCAGAGCAGGCTGAGTGGTTAGAGCAGGCAGAGCAGGCAGAGCAGGCAGAGCAGGCAGAGCAGGCAGAGCAGGCAGAGCAGGCAGACCAGACAGAGCAGGCAGGGTATATTAAGCATTCGGAGCAGGGACAGCAGGCAGGGCAGCAACAGGGTCAGGCACAATCACCTGACGACTGGGACGTGGGCGATGACGATGGCTGCTGGGAGGACTATCTCCAGCATGAGCAGCAGCACCAGCACTCCATCCAGCAGCAGCAGCAGCAGCAGCAGCAGCAGCAGCAGCAGCAACAGCAGCAGCGGGTTCTGCCGCATATGCTGGGGCGAGAACCGGCACAACAGCAGCCCCCAGATCATGGCCAAAACCAGCAGGAGATAGACGGCGCCCATGGCAACGGCCCCGCCGAGCCGAGCGCGGCAGCAGTACAATGCACTGCTGCCACGCCGCCGCCGCGCCCCCTGTTTTTCGCGCGCTTCTGTGCGGGCTGGGTGTATGCCAGCCAGGGCACCGTGGCCGCTTCCCTTTTAGAAAAGCAGCGGCGCTACGAGGAGGCCGTTGAGCTGCTGCAGCTGCTGCTGGGCGGTAACGCCTGCCTGTCGCGCCGCGGCACCTGGTGGTGCCGACTGTCCATCAACCTGGAGCATCTCAAGCAGGTGGACGCAGCCCTGGAAGTGGCAGAGGCGGCGCTGGCGGACCCCTACGTGCGCCATGGTGACCGCCTCGCCCTGCAGCGGCGTGTGCTGCGGCTAGGCAAGCCGCCGCGGCGCTGGAAGCGGCCCGCTTGGGCGGTGGCGGTGCAGACAGAGCCAATGGAGCGGAGGGTGGTGGGGCGGCCACTGGCAGGCAGCGTTGGGGCACGGAACAGGTAACTGCTGAATCACTCGTTTGTGGGGGAGCGGCAGAGGGCGCCCCGATATTTGCGACCCTTGCATGCACGCAGAAGCACCGCCCAATGTTGTCTGTCATGTTATCACCAGGCTGAAAGCACCCGACCTGCGCCCTGACCTCGCCCACCACTGAAGTTTCGGACCCACATCGAACCCCCAGGTACTACGGCTACGATGGTAGCCAAGTATGTGTGGAGGACCTGGCTCTGCAGCACTATGCGCGAGAGGCAGAAGGGGCATGGTGTGGTATTCACACGGAGGGCGGCATATGGGCGACGCTGTTTGGCCTGGCGTTTTGGGACATCCTCTTCAGCGGTGCGTTGACGGGGGGGCCAATAGGGCCACCGTTGTTGTCAACGTCGGGTCTGTTATTGCACGCGCTACTTGGCTCGCATGGGGCGGGCATGTGATCCGCTCTTTTGGTACTAGACACAATCACGTGCCCGGGTCCAATTCTCAGCTGTAGCGCGGCGATGATTGACCGCTGGTGGGACGCATGACCCTTTGAGGTCACCTCAACCAATGACACAATACACGTTTCACCTGCGCCCCTCACCGCCCCTCACCCCTGCCCGCCTGTGCCTCCGCGTTCCACAGACGTGCCGGGCGTGTTCCAGTCGCCCTTCCAGGCTGCTCCCTTGGATCTTGACACCGACGCATTCTTCCCAGCCCGAGCATCTGCAATTGAGCGCCGCCTGCAGGACATCGCGCTCGGCGGCGCAGGTGGACTACTCCTATGGGCGTCTGACCCTTCGTTTTGAATCAGTGGTTGAAAGTGCACTCGTGCATGCGTTTGGGGCGACCTGCATTCAGAAAACGGCTTTGGCCTCAACTCACGTTCAACTCACGTTGTTGGAGCTCACACCTGTCGCCCCTTGCATTGCCCCACCCCCCTAACCCCTCTGATCAGGTCCCCTAGTGCAGGCCACCTGGGAGACGCACTACGGCGCGCTCTGTCGCGGCGTCAGCTGGTCACGTTTCAGCCTGCCCCAGTTGCTGGAAATCAGCGAGTGCATCGGTGGTGTGGGCCTCTCTGTCGTGTTTCGCCTCATGGCAGAGGACCACGCCGGCAGCTCAGGTGCGACCTGCAGCCGTCACGGCAGCAACCGGACGGCCCTCGCCACCCCTGAAAATGGCGCATGCATGTCTGCTCGAGATGTGGATGCAAGACTCATGTTTGAGCTGGCCTGCTGCAGTTGCCGTTGCCTCATATCCACCCTTATCTCAACACTTTCCAGCCAAAGTGCTACATAGTCACATCCCATGAGCCTAGATGGCTCCAGGAGCGGGCAATCGCGGGATCTTGTAACACTCCTATCCTACCCTATCCAGCCAAGGCACTCACCTACTAATGAATCTTCTTCCATCCACGCCTGCTGGTCTGTACTCCCTGCCCTGCATGCCCCGCATCCCCAGGCGGCCTGCCGGACTTGCTGCTGTGGCGCACTACCCCGCACCGCGACGCGCGTTTGGTGGAGGTCAAGGGCCCAACTGACCGCCTGTCGGAGCAGCAGCGCGCATGGATTGCTGCCATGTCTGCAGCCGGCCTGCAAGTAGAGGTGTGCAAGGTCTTAGAGCCGTAAATGGGAGGCTGCTCTACAAGCTGTGTCTTATTGTCCACTACATACAGCGATCATGTGACTAGTCAGGGAGTGCACGGAGCTAGCGGACAACCACGCACCATGCAAGGCTATGGCTGCAGGAAACCCCAAGAAAACGTAGCATGCAGTTGTTAAGGGAACCTGAGACCGAGCAGTGATCATCGCAAGGCTGCGGCAGTCGGGAAACCCGGGAAAACCGCTTGGCGCGAAGGCCGACGCCTGGCCAGCCCCCCACCTCAAAAGCGGCCCGGGCCGAGGGGGAGTGAGCTCACGGTCCAGGCAGGACAAGAAACAGCCTGCCAGGCCGGCACGCCAGCCGGGCCAGTGGGAGGCCACGATTGTTGCAAGACAGAGGCAAGAAAACATGGGAGAGCACATGAAACTAAATGACCTGAAAGCAGAGCAATCGCGTGCCCCACAAAGCTACCAACGGCGGCCCAGCCACCACCGGCGGCCCCGCCGCCGCCACCACCACCGCCGCCTCCGCTGCCGACGCCGGCCCCTCCTTTGCCCACGCCGCTGTCCCCACCGCCGCCGCCGCCGCCGCCGCCGTTGCCACCCCGCCTGACGTTCGTTGAAGCCTGCCCAACGGTAGTCCTCGCAGCAACCAGCTCGCTTTGCATTAAAGCCTGAAGCGGCCTGAGGCGCGGCCAACAGCGGCGCTAGCGCCGGCGTCGGCACTCGCGGCGCTCTACGCCTCCAGCGCCCTTGGCGGCGACGCGCCCGGTCAGAGCGCGCGGGTGGTCACGGACCCCCACCCGCTGGCGGAGCAGGGCGCCAGGCCGCTGCCTGGTCGGGAGGACCCGGTGGTGGCCGACCTGGCCGCTGCCCTGGGGCCATCTTCTCGGGAGGGCCTGAGCCTTCCCCAGCTGCGCCGCCGGGCGGGGCCCGGCCCGTTCGCATGGAACAAAATCCTGGGGGAGCAGAAGGCGGTCAACCGCCGACGGGCGCGGCAGGAGGCCGACGCGGCCTTTACCGCGGTTCTTTTTTTTTATAAACAGTT